GATCTATCTAAGTTTAATGGTCTAACAGTTCGGACAAGTGATAGACACAGATAAGCTTCCCATTTTACAGGGAAAGGAAACTCACCTACATAGTTACAGACAAAGAAGTAACTCGTTCTGCTACATCAGGGTGATCCTTTTTTTTGGAGTTCATTTGTCAAGTCTAATGGGTTGGACTTTGCTATCTCATGCTGGCCTATAGGTGCAGGGACATCACAAGAGCATGTCACAATGATGTATAGAGATAGGAAGTGTCCAGAGAATGTAATGATGACAAAGTGATGCCTTCAGGCCATAAAACATCTTCAACATATGGGAAGATGAAGAGCCAAAAGCACAACTGTGTGAAGGCTGAAGTTAATGCTTCATAGATTGCGTTCATTTTTAAGAGTCAGGAAAAAAATTCCTTTTTAAATTATTTTTTTTTAATTGTATGAGTATGTAGACAATTTTTTAAGTGTGCTGCAGAGGATTGATTCAATTTAAAAACAAATGTATAGCCGTTAAATTACATTCTAAAGCATGCAACGTCTTGTTGAAACACCATTTCATTTTTTCCACTTTTGTTTTGTCCAGTTTGCCATGTAAAGGAATCAATCTTCCAGCAGACAGTTAGCTGTAGGTAGCACACATTCTTATTCAGAAATATGATCCTATAAATCATATAATACATTATTGGGTTGATCAAAGTAGACAGATGTCCCATAATATAATGTTTCTCAACCTTTTCCATAAAGAGTAACATTAATAACTATTTGTTTCCCCCAACCAAGTACCACTATTTTGCCCATATGTCTGGCTTAATAACTATGTTATTAACCTATAGCCCTAATAATATAAAATTCTGAGCATCTGAGAAGTAAATTTGGCCTTTGGCCAAATAAATGTGAGATATCATATATCTAGATTATCAGTTCTATATATCTTTAGAGTCAATGTTAAAGGGACAATCTAAACACCACAACCACTATACCCAGGTTCCCAGTGGCCTGCAGAGCACCTTCTTGCTTTTCAAATTGCTAACGTGAAATTTAATTTTCTGCATTAGCAATATCAATTTGCCCATTATTGGATGTCAGTGATATCTTTCTAATAGTGCTTTAGAGTGTAGCCCTGCACTATCCAATGTTTTTACAAGTTCTTCAATTAATGCTTGAGCTCCAAAAGTGATGTAAAACATTTCCCATTGTCAGAGCACTTTTTTATTTTCTTAGTTTCAGTAGGCTTTAAATAATTATATCTCAGTAGATTTGATTAATAGGAGATCGGATCTGATCTCTTCGATATCATTGATGTCTCATTACTGTAGAATCACATTGTATATTTTTAGCAAAGTCTTTTCCACAACCTGTGCTTGTACTGGAACTAATAGGAGCAGTACTGCTTTTAGACGGATGAAACTGGACAGCAGCACAGCCATGTTGCTCAGTGCACATTTAGATGATTGGAAGTGCTTTCAGTAGAATGCATGAAGTTCCTAATTGGGTTATGTATACTACACTATGAGAATTCCTGACAGTATACTATTTGCACAGACTAGCAGGAGACTTTGTTAGCTTTAATTTAAAAAAAAAAAAGAAGCAAACTCTTTTTACAGAAACAAGCATATGCTTGCATTTTGGTTTGGTTTTTCATTTGTTTATTTGTTTATTTAAGTGAACTGCCATGTGTTTTTGCACAGCCTGAAAAACAAATTACCATAGTCTATATTTATAATTTACTTTACTTTACATGCCTGGCTGTCCTGGCACAGCCAAAGCATTCCATGGAAAATAATTGACAGCACTGTGAAAGGAATGCTGAGTGAGCATGCGCTCATATAACAGTTTATGTAGATACGCAAGCTAGAATGAGCACATGCAAAGCCTCATGGGACAATGATGTGAAGTGTAAGCATAGAGTAGTCCCCTTTGGATTTAGCCATAATTAGATCATTTGTAACTTTAAGCAGAGCGGTCTCAGTAAAGTGGGGGTGGGGAGGAGGGCCCTTCTCCTGTTCAGTAGCTGGGGAAAAGGCCTAAAGGATAGGCAGAGCCCATGGTCCTTACATTTTAAATTAACTTTACATTTTCTCACCATAGTGAATAACCCTGTCATTTAAACTTACTGATTTTTTTTTTTAAATCTTTTTATTTTATTTTATTTTTTTATGATGTATGTTGAGATTTTTTGAGAAAAATTTATTTTTTGGCTGAGCAACAACATTGAGTCGGATTCTACTGTTAGGTTGAGCAGCAGCTGGCCAGCTAACATGACTGCTGCTGTGATTACTCTGTGTGAACATGCAGCAGCAGACAAGTTTGGTTGTGCAGCAGTTGGTCAGCTAACAGTAGAATCTACTATATCTAACATGGCTGCTCAGGTTGAACAAAAATTGGGGGAAAACATAAAATAAAAATCATTGTTTCAATTTAAAAAAAAAAAAAGTCTGTATAGCCTTATCAGCTTTATTAAAAGTAAAAAAATACAGTACCATTTACACAAATTTTGGCAGTATTAGGTTCATTAATAATTATCCCCAGCATATAAATATCATTAGGCAATTCAATAATCCATCAACATTTTATATATTTATTTTTATTTATTTATTTATTTTTATTTATTTTTTTAAATCTAGAGATTATCTGCACGATGGACATTAAATTCGTACTCTTATATTTGTTTGTTATTGGAAGTTGTAGTTGTGGTGAATTTTTTCTTTATTCACTGCAGATTAGCTGTATATGTTATGAAATTTTAAAACAAAGATAGCAGTGAAAGTGTTGTGACAATATGGATGAAATATGTTGCTACTTTCGCGGCATTATTTTTGAAATGACAATAACTTGCATTGCTGCTCATTATTGCCACATTTTGAACATCCTATTATGCACAAGCAAAACATTCACTGTTCACTATGAGCGCTTCGGGATTGTGGGCTTAATAACAGTCAGATCCAAAATTAATACTACTGAATGGCTAATGTAAAAATCTGCAAGGCTGTCTGTTACATGCAGACAAGAGTGCATCATGCTGGCACTGGGACATAGCATGCTGTTACCCTATGCACGAGATTCATTGTCTCGAAGGTGGCTCCTTAATTTATAGGCAGGTGTCCTTGGGGACATGAGTGCACATACCAAATTCGATTAGAAGTAATTCAAGGGTTCACCCACGCATGCAGTAATTATGATTGTGAGCATCCGAGGAAAATTAGTGTATAATGTCTTAATTAAAGCATGGTAATACCATTTTAGTAACAGATTAAATTATGTAAAGCTCTTTAAATATGCACATTCTTATATAATTATGAATAAAACTGCATCTATAAAGAAGATATGTGTATTATTAATGCATGTTTCGATGGAAACCGCGCACCGTGGACCAGTAATTCAGTTAGAAACAGTGAAGGCCACACTACAGGAGTATGTCCATGTCACGGTGATGGGATAATCAAATAAACACTGGGCTTTATTTCAGCATACAAACAGAAACCTTTATTGATGCTGTTTACTATGATAAAGTGTAGGAAGGGCTGTGTTCAACTATTACCCATATAAAGCAATAGTATAGCACAGAAAAACAAAATTATATAAGTCAACAAATACTTTATGGTGGGCATACCCCATAATCTTTCTAAATGCTTAAGGTTAACCATCCCGCAAAATTAAAATTTGATGCTGCATTCTTTAGAAGAGGGACTTATTATTTTCCTTTATGGAAATATCCCACTGTCCCTTAATATAGTCTTTCTTCTGACCTATGTTTACATTTCTATAGATGACCTGTGTGCATTATGTCTACTCATGCTGTTATGATATAATTTTTGTTTTGTATACCAACTTTTTTTTCTGGTTTCTTTCTACCTTTGTCTTCGCTCTCCTTCTGCAGCCTCCATTTTCTCTTCTTAATTATTTTTCCTTTCCTTTGTGGCTCCCTCTTTCCATATTTTCTTCCTTTCTACAACTCTGTTCTTTCTCATATTTCCTCCTTGTTGGCACTCATGAAGCTCCTTTCAGCTTGTGCCCCAACAGGTTCTCGTGGTCACTTGTCATGACAGGTCTTGTGGTGGCAATGTCTTCCAGGACTGGCCATTTCCATCCCATAGATCAGGCTTCCCCAAACTCCGGCCCTCCAGATGTTGCTGAACTACAACTCCCATGATTCTATGAACGAAATAGTTAGGCTGAGAATCATGGGAGTTGTAGTTCAGCAACATCTGGAGGGCCGGAGTTTGGGGAAGTCTGCCATAGATTCACATTCCTTCAACTGTTTCACACTTTCTATTTTATATACATTCAGAAACTTCAATTATAGCCTTGCAATACACTAGTTTTACACCAATGCTATAGTGTTATCATATTAGACATCCTTTTAAACAATATGCTACAGCTCTATAGCTTCTTTAGCAGCCAGTGATTGACCATTACTAAATTAATCAAACATTATATACAGTATATATTTTTCACAAAAAACCCAGGTTCCATAATAACTGCCCCGATGCAATAATGTTGTCAAATATATTGTATTATATCATTATTAACTTTATATCAGTTAGGGCATATCATGTGTTTTCTTGTACCCTTGTTTTATGCTATCTCTAGAGTACATTGTAGTATTTTGTTACTCAGCATTTAATACCATTTAATAAAGCACCGAGAACCTGCTTGATTTCAATGCAAGCACTCCTGACACTTCTGCCTCAATGCTTCCCATAGCTGCTGCACTTGCTCACAATCCTGTCACATAATCATTTTGTGTGAATGTGTGTGATAGCACGGTTGGAACTGAGTTATATGCCAGCATCTGCCATGAGTTATTCTTTACTTTTCTTTTAATGTAAAAAACATATGCTTTAAAGTTTCATTCTCCTCAAATAGTCACATAGAGAGTTGCTAATTAAAGGGCACTCTGACCACCAAAACAACTTTAGCTTAATTAATTGTTTTAATTGTATAGATCACATAGGCGTGCGCAGCCTATTGCATTAGGGTGTGCACCCTAAAGCACAAACACACGCCGCGTGTGTGTGTGTGTGTGTGTGTGTATGTATATATATATATATATATATATATATATACACATACACACACACACATACACTGCTGTGTGTGCTGTTACTGTGATGTGTGTGTGAGGGTGCTGTTAGTGTGATGTGAGGGTGTTTGTGTGTGTGTGTATGTGTTTGTGACTGTGCTGTTTGTGTGTGAGGGTGTTTGTGTGTGTATGTTTGTCCTGTGAGGGTGCTGTTTATGTGAGTGTCGTGTATTTGTGAGGGTGCTGTTTGTGTGTGTGTGTGTGAGGGTGTTGTGTTTTTTTTTTTAAAGGTGCTGTGTGTGTTTGTGAGGGTGCGGTTAGTGTACTGTGTGTGTGTGTGAGCTGTATGTGTGTAGATGCTGTATGTGTGTGTACTGTATGTTTGGAGGGATTTGGCAGATTAGTAAATCCTTGCTGCCATGTTCCATCCCTGGTGGTCCAGTGGAGAGTGAACTCTAGCTTGCGGGGCTAGAGTTAACTCTCGCGAGATCTGAGCGTTGCCGCAGCAACACTCAGATATTGCGAGAGGAACCTGGCGGAGCGTCTGTCTAGAGCTCCCTGGGTCCTCTCCTGCCTCCCTCCATGCTGCTGTGGGCCGGTGAGGTAGATCTTTGGTCTCCCCGCTGGCCCATGGAGGCTTAGAGCAGAGCCGACACTCAGATAGCGCCGGCTCTGTGTGTGTGTGTGTATATATATATATATATATATATATGCGTACACACACACACTCACAGACACATTCAGACACACACACATACATACACTCACAGACACATACATACACTCACAGACACACACACATTCACAGACACACAAACACTCAGACACACAAACACTCACAGACACACAAACACACACATTCACAGACACACACACACACTCACACAGACACACACACTCATACACTGACACACAGACACTCACACACTCAAACACAGACACACACAAGAACAAATTATTACATTTTAATTTAAAAAAATTCCACCCAGCCTCCTACCTGGAGTGGACTTTTCCCTGGGGTCCAGTGGGGGCGGGCGCCGCTCTCCAGCTCAGCGCGCGGCGAGGGAGCTCTCTGCTGTCTGCTCTCTGCTCCCTGCTCCCTCTCGCCGCGCGGGCTGTCTGCTGGAGCTGGGAGCCGGAATATGACGTCATATTCCGGCTCCCGGCACCAGCGCGCGGCGAGAGGAAGCAGAGAGCAGACAGCAGAGAGCTCCCTCGCCGCTCGCTGAGCAGCTGGGTGGGGGGGGATCCATCACCTCTTGCCCCCCCCATGACAGGGGCAAGAGGTGAAACAGGGGGCACTGAGTGCCTGCAGGAACAGCGTTCCTACTCAAAAAAAGTGCAGGAACGCTGTTCCTGCAGGACTCAAACCATAGGCGTGCCATGGGGATTAGGGTGTGCCCAGGCACACCCGGCACACCCCGTGCGCACGCCTATGATAGATCACCAGGGTGGCCTTATGCCTTTAGGCGCCGTCTTCACTGCACCCCTGCATGGTCACACCCCCCCATCCATATGTAGTGTGTGTATAGGGTTGTATTGTTTGTATAGGGGATTTATTAATTAATAATTACTCCACAACAATAAAGCTCACAGTAATGTGCAGTATGTCACAGAGCTCCATAACGATCAGGGCCAGATTAACAGCCCAGTGAGCCTGGTGCTGACAATTATGACGGGCCTAATTAAAGAATCATATCGACCAAAAACACAAAAACACTCCCAAGCGTCATGTATCTGATGGAGATGGTGCTGGAGAGAAAGAAAACAGCAGCTATAAGAAAACACATACCCTATGCTAATCTCTCTCTAATTTATGTTTTTATCTTTCAAGTAAATCCACAACCCCTAACAGCAGTGTCCAGTCAAGCAGGAAGTCAATGGGCACGGTAAAAGGGTGTGCCACTGACACAAATCACGTAACCTGCCAAAAGGGGCGAACATGCCCAAAAAGAGGACATGTCTGCCTAAAGAATTAGAAGGCCAGCCTGGCATGAATGCATGGCAGACTGCCTGCCAATCATGCAGCTGGACAACTAAAGGCATACTATGCAGACAGCACCCTGAGCTTGGCATAAATGCATCTAATGATGCGCTCGCTCAACGCTTTCTAAGGACTGTCCCCTAGCACTCGCTGGTCCACTTGTCTCCTTACCTTCTTACTAGCAGGCAGACGCTCCTGGTATATAGTCTGGGACAGAGAAAAGCTGTATGTAGTGAGTGTAGAAGAAAGGGAACATGCCACAGTGTTAGAGAGACCAAAGTCAGCATTACCTTAAAGGATCACTATAGGGTCAGGAACACAAACATGAATTCCTGACCTTATAGTGTTAACACCACCATCTAACCTCCCTGGGCCCCTAATGCCTCCATAAATATAGTAAAAATCTTACTGTATTCAAGCCTGAAGCTGTAACTCTGCATGCTGTTAGACTCAGAAAAACAAGCAGTCTGCTGACATCATTAGAAGTGGTCGCCTGATCCAATGACAGTGCTTCCCCATAGGATTGGCTGAGACTGATAAAACGGCAGATCAGGGGCAGAGCCAGCATGATTCAAACACAGCCCTGGCCAATCAGCATCTCCTCATAGAGATGAATTGAATAAATGAATCTATATGCGGAAAGTTCAGTGTCTGCATGCAGAGGGAGGAGACACTGAATGTTTGGATGCATTTTAGGCAGCCATGACTCAGGAAGGATCTCTAACAGCCATCCAAGGAGTGTCCAGTGAAGTTATCACTAGACTGTAATGTAAAGACTGCATTTTCTCTGAAAAGACAGTGTTTACAGCAAAAAACCTGAAGGTAATGATTCTACTAACCAGAACAAATTCATTAAGCTGTAGTTGTTCTTGTGACTACAGTGTCCCTTTAACTATATTCTTTGTCAGCCAGTCCACACAAGTTTTGTTCCCATACATCCCTCTTAAGTTTCCATACTTAAGTAAGAGTATGTGAAAAGAAGTTAGGGATGCCACCTTACTTGGAAAACCGTACCGGCCTTACTAATTTGCATAATTAAATATGTATGGGTGACATCACATGATGTAAATCACAAGGAGTGACAAAGGAGAAAATGCTGTAAAATCACCAAACAACTACTTAGTTTGATTATGTTGTAAAGATGGATTCCTCCCAGTGCCCCCATGTTTCCCAGTGCCCCCATGTGTCGATTACTCCAGGTCTCAGCGTTCCTATGTATCAGTGTCTCAGTGCCCCATGTCTCCCAGTGTCCCCAGGTCTCCCAGTGACCCTATGTATCACAGTGTCCCTATGTATCACGGTGTCTCAATGCCCCATGTCTCCCTGTGTCCTCCAGTATTCCCATGTGTCTATGTCCCCATGTATGTGTCACTAGGACACTAGGAAGACGGGGAGACCTGGGGACACAGGGAGACCTAGGGACACAGAGACACCAGTGACACTGGGGAACTAGGGGACGCTTGAAAACATGGGGACACAGATACTAGAGACACTGGCTGGGGGACATGGGGACATTGAGACATGGGGGCACTGGGAGACATGGGGACACTGAGACACCACGGCCACAGACACTAGGGACACTAGCTTGGAGACATGGGGACATTGAGACACTTGAGGCACTGGGAGACATGGAGGCACTAGGAAACATGGGGACAGTGAGATACTGAGAGACTAGGGGGCACTGAGACACCAGGGACACTGGTTGGGAGACATGGGGAGTATTCTCCTTCTTGTGTGGGCATTACACTGCACCATCAGGGGTTAGCCCAGCAACTGACACATGGCGCACTGTGCGGCTGCACAGCTCGTACACCCCTAAGCCTGGCCCTGTATATCATGCCTCTCCAGTCTTAATGTCTAGTTCTCACTAATTTAGGAGTTAAATCACTTTGTTTTTTTATATGCAGCCCTAGCCACACCTCCCCTGCTTGTGAATTTCACAATCTTCCTGAACACTTCCTGTAAAGAGAGATCTATTTTTTCACGGTGGGGGGGACTCCCAGGGAGCCCCCCCGCGGTAGATCCTCCTCCTCCGGTGCCCCCCGGCCATGTGAGAGTGAGGTCCTTGCGAGGACCCCACAATCACATGTCCGGGTAGGCTGCATCCTGCATTGCCAGCAGGGGGGCTGCCTGTAATTACAGGTGGTCCCCCTGCTGGCTGAAAATAAAATAAATAAATGTTAAAATAAGTGTAAAAAAAAAAAAAAAAATATATATATATATATATATATATACTTACTTAATATATATATACTTAGATCCTTATATATATATATATATATATACTTAACACTTACTTTCATATATGTTATGTGATGAATTATTAGGCATTTTATTAGGCAAGTTTTTTTTTAACAACAACCATGTTTCCCGGAGCCAAAAAACTCATTAATATCAAAAGCTGAATATTTTTGGAAGTAGTTTTTAGTTTGTTTTTAGTTATAGCTATGTTAGGGGGATATCTGTGTGTTCAGGTGACTATTACTGTGCATAATTATTAGGCAACTTAACAAAAAACAAATATATACCCATTTCAATTTTATTATTACCAGTGAAACCAATATAACATCTCAACATTCACAAATATACATTTCTGACATTCAAAAAACAAAAGCAAAAAACAAATCGGTAATATAGCCACCTTTCTTTGCAAGGACACTCAAAAGCCTGCCATCCATAGATTCTATCAGTGTTTTGATCTGTTCACCATCAACATTGCGTGCAGCAGCAACCACAGCCTCCCAGACACTGTTCAGAGAGGTGTACTGTTTTCCCTCCTTGTAAATCTCACATTTGATGATGGACCACAGGTTCTCAATGGGGTTCAGATCAGGTGAGCAAGGAGGCCATGTCATTAGATTTTCTTCTTTTATACCCTTTCTTGCCAGCCACGCTGTGGAGTACTTGGACGCGTGTGATGGAGCATTGTCCTGCATGAAAATCATGTTTTTCTTGAAGGATGCAGACTTCTTCCTGTACCACTGCTTGAAGAAGGTGTCTTCCAGGAACTGGCAGTAGGACTGGGAGTTGAGCTTGACTCCATCCTCAACCCGAAAAGGCCCACAAGCTCATCTTTGATGATAC